CTGTGGCCTTGTAGTTCTCCTCGTGACCTTGTAGTTCTCCCTTGTGACCTTGTAGTTCTCCCTCGTGATCTTGTAGTTCTCCCTGGTGATCTTGTAGTTCTCCCTGGTGATCTTGTAGTTCTCCCTGGTGATCTTGTAGTTCTCCTGTGATCTTGTAGTTCTCCTGTGGCCTTGTAGTTCTCCCTCGTGATCTTGTAGTTCTCCTGTGATCTTGTAGTTCTCCTGTGATCTTGTAGTTCTCCTGTGGCCTTGTAGTTCTCCCGCGTGATCTTGTAGTTCTCCTGTGGCCTTGTAGTTCTCCCGCGTGATCTTGTAGTTCTCCTGTGGCCTTGTAGTTCTCCCACGTGATCTTGTAGTTCTCCTGTGATCTTGTAGTTCTCCTGTGATCTTGTAGTTCTCCTGTGGCCTTGTAGTTCTCCCTCGTGACCTTGTAGTTCTCCCTTGTGACCTTGTAGTTCTCCCTCGTGATCTTGTAGTTCTCCCTGGTGATCTTGTAGTTCTCCCTGGTGATCTTGTAGTTCTCCCTGGTGATCTTGTAGTTCTCCCTTGTGGCCTTGTAGTTCTCCCTTGTGACCTTGTAGTTCTCCCTTGTGATCTTGTAGTTCTTCTGTGATGTGTGTACAGCTGCTCATGGCTGCGCTCACGCTCCAGAAATGGACCCAGTTGGGGCAGGGCGCACGTCGTCTGACGGAGCCGGCACAGTCCACACAGAGTTATAGACCCCATTGAGAAACACTCAGCCTCTTTTGGATGCTCTTTATTATTTATATAATATTGTTAGTAATAAGCTGTTTCCCATAAACTGAACAAACTGTGTGATGATGTTCCATCAGGTGTTTTTTTCCCAGCCTTTCAGTTTTTTGTTGTAGCTCTTTTTGAAACATCTTGTCATTCAAATTGGGAATATCATCTCTTTAAAAGCAATGACCTTTCTCGGTTTCAACATTTCACAAGTTGTCTTTCAGTTATTTTCTATCAAATATTTTACATAATGTTCCAGCTTTTCAGAGTTTTGGGTTTTATTTATAAGACAGACGAACATCAGAGAAGTGCTCACTGGCTGGACGCCCCTGTGAGTTTTCTTTTGTCTCCTCATCATCGTCTTTCTGTGAGTCATCAGCACACACAGTTTGTCTCCTACAGTTCTTCTTTTCATTTGTCCAATAAAAAATACTGAAAGCTGAGAGCTGAGAGACAGATTTCTGTGGAGAGGTACAGCTCAAGGGATGATTCAGAAGCACATCTTTCTGAGAAAAAAATAACACAATTTAAAAAAGAAAACACAAATTAAAATCCATCTGATATGATTTGCATTTGTCCTAGGAGATTTTCTCAGTGAGCTGAACAAACAGGGAGACCTCACAGTTGTAAAGTACTTTAAAGAATAATTTATTGAAAAAGAATGCAAAACATCTTAAAGCTAGAATATGTTTATTCCACCACCAGGGGGCTCTAAACCATTACTACGATAACAAAAGATGACGTCTAGGCTAGCAGGGAACCATGGGAGTTCTCTTTTCTTCTCCACTGCGATGATAAACATTTTGTGTCTGTCATGGTGGCTCATCATGGCGGCTCCCGCGACAAATATAAAATCACAGATTTCTCTGGCTTTGATATCTGTTGGAAATATTTCAGGTAACATCAAAAATATATAAAATAGGGTGAGTCCATTATTAATTCATTTAGATATTTGAATGTAAACATTGTGATTAAATTCTACATATTATACGTTTAACAAAGGAATCTGCAGTCTGTAAATCAGGGGTGAATGTTTGTGTGGTGTGGTGGTGCAGCAAAACAAAGATTACAAACTTGTCGGTGATGGTGAGAGGCAGAGAGGGAGAGA